TGGTAGTGGTAGTGGTAGTGGTAGTGTAGTAGTAGTAGTAGTAGTAGCAGTAGTAGTAGTAGTAGTAGTAGATGATGATGAAGATGATGCAGTAGTAGTACTGTTTAAACTTGCTGCGCTGCCCCTGTGCATCGAACGCTCATGATTTTGTGGAGGCCATCTCAGCCGCCATTGAACAACAAGCGGCTCATGGTGATGCGGCGAGCAGTGCCTTCGAGGGTGTCAGTGAAGATGGACAGGCACGGATCACAGAGATCGGCCAAGATCAGCCAAGAGCCGAGCAAACACGGTGCATGCAGAGATGTTTGTTGCTGTCATGCCAGGCTCCAGACATGGAGTCCGAGAAAACGCCAGCGGCTGAGGAACCGCCAGAAGCCGAGCCACCAGAAAATGACAGCTGAAACGTCAAGAGAGCGACAGCTGTGAACAGCACAGCTTTCGTTCTTTTGGAAAAAGCCACTAATCAAGCATGTGTAGATACATTGTACGAAAGAGCCGCGCTTGCGATCCTACAGGATGGTAGTGTCATCGTACAAGGTGTTCATATCATCAGCCAAAACGCGCTAAGATGGAGTGCTGCATTCCGGCATACCTTTCATGAGAGGATGGGGATTTTTATGAACCAATCATTGACATCCCGGACGAGGCTTTAGTTGCATGAGTGCATGCCAGATAGATCCAAAGTTTCACCCCGCAGTACGGCAATCTGGCGCATCCACTGGGCATGCCTAGCAGCATTAGGGTCAGAACTCCAGCATTGAACCGTTTGCGAACCCCTCGCAGACAGGTTGCGACAACCGTTTCACTGGAATGTGGAGTTCACCCCGCACGACCAAAGTGGCGAATGGGCGATCCCGTGTGAAACTTGTTTGTTTGCGCAGGCTGTGAATTTGTGAACCAAGTTGACTTTTCAGCAGGCGCGTGGGTTTGTGTCACGGTAATTCATTCAGTCCGTTTTGCTGCACCTACAAGTAGTGATTTTGGGTCTCCAGAGGTTTTTGCAGGTCTTTGATAGCATAAGTCGTCTCAGCAGGTGCTCACATATACTCGCAGTTTTGCTTCGTCCACTTTGCGATGTGGCTGCTGAGACCCGGTCGTCGGCCGTAGTCTTCAGGCTCCCATCGCCCACACAAGTCCAAATATGGCCAGTTTTTGTGGTCTTCGAAAGATCCCTTTCGTGCTATATCGCAGTGGCACTTCGAGAGGCCTTTTCCTTTTGGAGAGCGATGTGCCGCCGCGTGGCAGACTGCGGGATGAGGTCTTATGCCGGCTCATGGGTAGTGGACATCCGCAGCAAATCGGAGGTTTTGGTGGTGGGTGCGGTCCTACAAGTAAGGTGGCGATTGTGGGTCCGCACTCCGAGCCCAACTCTGTCGCATGCTGCTTTGCCCAGTGTGGCATAGCGTCTGCTGAAGTTGATCACTCCCACGGAGACTGTGGCCTCTCGGCCTGACAGAAGCTGCCAGTGTGGTGATCCATGCGAGATTGTGCCGCAGCCAAGGCAATATGCTTGCAGCAGTGGCACCGTTTGCCCTCGAGAGGGGCATATTGAACCTGGAACCATCAGCATGTCAGCACGCAGCGCGCACGGTCAAAATCCATAGTGTTAACACTGGCGCTGTCTACGAAGCACAGGTGTCCATGACAGGTGACTGTGGTCAGACTTTTGTTCAGTATACAGGAGATTGTGAAGTTCCTGGAATTCCAAGACCGGCGGCTCCATTGCGACTTGCTTCTTTAGATGTTGCAGGCTCGCAGACCGGGAGGCTTCTTCCCTCCGGGAATGCCCAAGATTCCTTTCTGGTTGGGAAGCGCTTGGGCTCGGTCACAGCCACTCTCGTTGACTTCGCGCGGGCCTTAGTGGTGGTGCCTGCCGAGGAGGTACTGCCAAAGTTCGGGTACAGAAAACTGGATGAGATTACTATTGCACAAGTCGAACATGATGCGGAGCTATGCTCAGATCTTGAAGACCTCCGTTTGCAGGCTGGTCTTTTGATGGGAATGGGTGATTGTTCTGGTCATGATGCACCGAAGTTGGCTATTGTGGGTCCAGCCGAATCTCCAGGTGTGGGTCTAGGAGAGTCAACACAGTCCGGGACTGCAACCATGGCTTGCCGCTATTTTGTGAATCCGGGAAGACGCGAGCTGCACCCGACAATTGCAATGACAGCAGCGCAAGCACTGGGGGCAGCCTGCCTAGTTGAAGGCAGTGTTGCAAAGAGGGCACTTGGTCGATGTCCGGCAGCAGATGACGGCTCTGATGTCTTCACTTTTGCAATGCAACATCCAAAGGGTACGTTCCCTGTAAGCATTGGCGTGCAGCCAGCATCGGCAGATAAGCTTGTCCGTTTTCCATCAGGGGTACCACATGCCGGCAGGTACACCACGACCGTAATGCCGATAGCAGAGGGAAGTGCATTTATCGACCGATCCTTCCATTGACGGCTCCGCTGTGAAAGTCTGAGCCGAAAACAAGAGCGCTTATCTGAATGTTGGATTTCGTTTCGCTGAAGTTTGTCGTGCATGTCGTGCCTGTTGTTTCCAATGCAGCTCCACTCTCAAAGACGGCTTCAGGATCAGTGTAGTCCTTTGGCTGGCAGCAGACACGAAGCCTACAAGCAGCAGCACAGGATTTCGCCCCATACCGCACAGAAGTACAGCATGCTAATGCGATTGAGCAGCTGCTGCTGCTGATTTGCTGATCAAACCTCTAGTCTGCAAATGGCGTCCGGCGGCGTTTGAAACGTGGGCGGTGCAGATCGCCGAGAGATGCCATCACCAGAGCAGAATGGCGATGGGCGATTTGCATGCTGACGACGGCACGTCCGACTTCCCGGACACATCCGAGCGTTCGGATGAACCAAACAGCCCCAAGAGCCCGGAGGCAGGGTCCACCAAGGGCGACCTCAAGCGTTCCTTGCTGCACAAAGTTGCTCAGCTGACGAGGGTGGTCAATCACTTGAATTCAAAATCAGACGAGCAGGAGATGGAGCACGCAAGGCTGAGTGAGGAAGTCGAAGCCAAGATCCAGAAGCTGCACGAAGATGCTGCTCAGGGCATGCGTGCCGAAGCTTCAAAGCTGGAAGAGCTTGCGAGCAAGACTTGTTTGCAAGACAGCTCAGCACGGTTAGAGAGCCTCTTCGGTCAACAGAGGGCCGAACTGGCAGCAGAAATACGAGCCTTGAAGACCATGGCTTGTGGCAACCAGGCGTGTGTAACTGCCAGGGCCGACTCAGATCTGTGTGTTTCGATCCAGCATGTTCGGGACATCTCACAACGGGTTCGCCAAAGTCTAGATGCTTACAGGGCGACCTTGAGGCGCCGGGCAGCAGAGATGGAGCAGCGCAACGAGGCGCAAGGACTTCGAAGCGAGAAAGAGAGATGGACTCAGAGAGAAGAGCACCCGGAGCAAGCGCGGGGTCTATAGGAGCAGGACCAGGGCTCCACGCCAGCATGGTCACCCCTGCATATGCTAATGAATCCTGCCTGGCATTGACTGTAGACTTCCGACATGCGGCGAACGCGAAAGACTAATAGAAGGCTAAGCCGTTGTTTTGCTGTATCACACGCCGATCATGCCGGAACCCAGAACATGCGCAGTTAATCGTTGTTGGATGTTTATAGCTTTCCTGCTGCCTACCTTCCACCTATAATACCGGTCGCTGCTACAACGGCTTCAGCAGCATTGTCAACATTTTTCTGAGCCTGAATTGAATGCTCATGGGATGCAGAAAGTTTGAATTATTCACACACCTTTGGCGGGTTCGTTGCCGTTTGTTAAGGAAAGGAGGGAGGGAAATGAGGGAGTGCAGGGCAGAACGAGCGGTGGCAGGTGCTCCGGCAAGACCGCGCTGTGGAGCTGCAAGGGGTGGAAAGGGACTTCCAACAAAGGCTTGATGAACTTGCAGGGTCCCTGAGACGAGAAGCCGATCACGTGAGGCAGTCAACCGAGCAGCAGCTGCTTCACATGAAGCGCATGCACGAAGCAGAGACCAGCTCCTGGCAAATGCAAGTCTTGCAGAGACGCCATGAGCGAATCCAGCGCTTGGAGCAGGAGTTCGGTGACGAGCGCCGCATGCGTGAGCAGTCGGCGACGAACTTGGACTATGAACTCATGCAGCAGCGCAAAGACCTTCTGGACTTCAAGGCTTCGTATCGGCTCGTGGACCAACAGGTGGAGGCAATGAGAGTCACGCTTGAGGAGATGCGGCAGCGCGTGCGCACTGCTCAAGCAGATGCCGACACTGCGCGTGAAGAAGCTTCACAGGCGGAAATCGACACCCAAGCCTTGGCAAAAGAAATCGCGTTGCTGGAGGTGCGACGGCGAGCTGCTGGGATTCCGGCGGGAGTTGTGGTGCCCCCAAGCAAAGCGCCGGCCCCAAGGCCACCCAGGCCTCTGAATGGTTTGACCGATGAGCTACGGGAGTCCATTGCAAATGCCAAGCAGCTGGAAGCGGAAATGGCACAAGCAGATGCTTATTTGGGCGACTTGGAGGACGAACTTGCAGAAAAGGACAAGACGGTTGAAATCCTCGAAGTGGAAACGGAAGAGGAGCGATTGAGGACCCATCGGCTTCAAGCCCGAATCCTGCAGCTGGAGGCTTCCTTGAAGACGTGAGCCAGCGTGGACTTGTCTCCTGCAGACTTCGGTGCCCTGTTACGTGGATGTGCAAAACCCATCGGCTGCTGTGGTTCGTCGTAAAATTTGACGAAGTAGTTTCACCTCGCAGCGACGCAGACAAGATGCCTGCAAAATATCGCTATGGGGCTTAGAGCTGCACTGCACGTGTTCGACAGGGCTTGTCGAGTGGGGGGAAGAGGTCCCCCATTCAGAATTGAGAGCAGCAGGTCCTTTTCGATGGGATCTCTAGGTCAACAGAACCCCTTGAGTGATTGAGCACTTTGGCCCTGACCCTAGCCTATCCTGTAGTTCCAACGGAGCTGTCCCGAAGAGAAGCCCCTAAAGTCCTAAGGGATGTTTCTTTTTTGGCAGAGCGCAGGACTGCGAGTGGGTGACCTACCCCGGCTGGCGCATGGTGACGCCTACAGCCCAGCTTCCCGACTTGTGCTACTGTCCAACAACTTACAGCAAAAAGCTCTTTGTCTTCTCTCTTCCAGTGCTTTGTGCAGTTGAAACCGAGCTCCTGTCGCACGAGGCCTGATGGTGACTTCGAGTTCCAAGTCGGTCCGGCGCTGATCCTAAAGGTTTGGGCGCGAGTATAGGCTGTGGGTCAGCTGTCGCAAGGAAACCAGGCTCACTGGGAGGAAATTGTGGCCCGCTTTGGCACAAAGAATGCCGTTCAGGTGCGCTTTGCTGGTTTCAAGACGCTGTACCGCTCGGTTGTTCATGATTGTCCCAATAACAAGCTTCACCGGAATGGCCGCCTAGGTCACCCCCCTCCCCCCCCCCGGGGGGCCAGGCCTCAGAGTCAAGTCAGAAGGTGTGGATCTGCAGTTGTAGCTGTCTCGCAGCAAGGCTCAAGGTTCAGCCATGTGAAGCATGGAAGTCGTGCTCTGTATAGGTTTATACCGATTGGCTCCCCGTGCTGGACCACATGTCGTACTCGAAGCAGCGGCTGCTCTTGCTGATAGCTCTTGCAGTCGCGATCTGGTCTCGCACGCCCAGCCTTGTGTACTGCTTCTACCTTCTTCTTTCTACCAAGTCTAAGACCTACACAGGCATTGCCAAGGACCCGGAGCGGCGCCTGGCGCAGCATAATGGCCAACTCAAGGGTGGTGCAGCTTCAACACGAAGTGGGCGACCCTGGCGACTGGCTTTCTTGGCCGAGGGCTTTGCTAGCAGGGGCGAAGCGCTGCGCTTCGAACACCAAGCCCGACGCTCCGCAACTGGCAGCGCCGTCGTCGGCTTCACACGCCGCTGCAAGAACCTCCGCCGCTTGCTCAACACAGAACCCTGGATACACTCTGGACTAAAGGTTTCCTGGCACCAATCCGATGCATCCGTCTGAGACAAATCAACTTTCGGACCCCCTGACATCCCCTGACCCCTCCACTGCTCAGACACGCAGCTGCTCACTGCACTCCCTCCGAGCTCCGAGATGCTCGCCAGAGACGGGAGGTTAACTGCTCGAACGGCCAAAGTTAAAGCCCGAGACTACGAGCCGACGCGTCGTGAAAAGGCGGCTGGCGGCGGCAGCTGAGTGCTGCCTAAGACCTAGGCACTGGTTCCCGTTGCCAAAGTAACAAAAGGATCCTGTGCATGTTGTCTTGCCGTCAGGAATGGCGGGACCTGATGACAATCGCCAAGCCTTTGGGCGAGATTTCGAAGAGTATTCCCGCAGCAGCTTTGCGCGGCGATTTGGGGGCTGCAGGGGCCTCGATCTTTTCTTGTCTCGGTACAGAATGGTACAGACGTTTGCGGAACTTTCAACTTCGGATCGAATTCCAGCCCCTATCGCTTGCCAAGGTGCGGACGCCTTGTCCTCGAGCGCACCGTGTTTTGACTTCCAGCTCACTAGCAGGTTCTGACTTTGCTCCCCGGTTGTGCCAAGGCTTCGGCGTTTCTTGCCTCGGCTACCTGCTTTGCTTCTGAACGGCCCGAAGTTTCAGGCAATACTGTACTGGCCCGGTCGGCACCAATGCAACCAGTTCTGATACAAGTTTGCTTTGGTACGAGGGGGCTGGCTGATGTCTCTGTTTGTGCTGTTCGGGTCAGGGGACAACTGCCGAAAGCGCGAGTCCCTTCCGAGCCCTGCAAGCCTGTGAGTGGTCTGAATGTGCATGCAATTGCATACGCGATCCCATGCCCTCGGTCGCTTCGAGACGAGACGATGCCGTACATCAGCAAGAGTGGTCCTTCATGTCATGCATCAGTGTCACACGCACCCTGAAGTGTGCAGGCTCCCTTTTCTGACCTGCTACGCGATGCAGGCGTATAATTAGCCATTGTGAAGCGGAGCCCCGCTGCACCAACACTGGGCAGGTGTTCAGGACAGCTTCTTGAAGAGATGGATGGACTACATCTGCTTCGTGTTGCAGGCACTCAGGAGCATCGTAATTAAGCGATCACGTGTAGCTTCCAACTCCCATTTTATGAACTAGTAGCGACACCGCGAGATTGCTCGTCTCGTTGTCAGAAGGCTCAGCCGAACCAGCTTCGCCTGCTCCAATTCTTTTTCTCGTGACCGACTCCCAAGACAGATCAAAATTCTGGGAGAAGCTAGTAGCTCGAGATATAAAGGCGCGGAAAGCTATAGTATCTCAAAAGTTTTCTACTCAGAGATGCATTCCGTCTTTGAGCAAAAACTCTGCAGGGCTCTGGGTGCATCGGCAGACTTGTATCAATCAATTCGTTTGATCAAACTACTCGTGTCCGTCTCGCGGGACCCATGCCGCTTTGGCTTTGCGTCAGGCTTTGCCAGCCGACACGCATCCCAGTGCACCGGTGGCATACATGATCTCGGACATGTATGAGTGTTCATCTCAGGAAACACATAGACGTGGGCGCACTGCGATGCGTGTGTGTGTGTGTGTGTGTGTGTGTGTGTGTGTGTGTGTGTGTGTGTGTGCATGTGCTGCCGGAGGCCTGGAGCCTTCCTGGACTACCCGAAAGGTGGTATGGGGGCCGGGAAGCTCGGCATCAGGTTTTCCACGTGCCACTTTTCAGTTACACGATACTTGGAGCCGACGGCCCATCGCTATAGCCGTGAGAGGCGCTCATCGGTGCATTAGAGCGCGGTGTGCTGAAACATGAAGGGCGGATACGCCCGGAGCCCTGAGTGGAGAAGCATCGGTGTTACTTTGCCGTCCGGACGTGGGCTGCAGCGAATTGCAGGCTACAACGCCCACGTTGAAGAGATACTGGCATCGCAGGGCAAGGCCATCCTCACTTTCAGGATTTTGTTCTCTTGCAAGTTGGTTTGGCCTGTTTTCGGGAATTCCGCATCTGTAGCGGGTTTTGATTGCTGCAGGTGACGGGCATCAAACTGCGAAGTGGTGAGCCGCTCGCAAGAAAGAGAGTCGATCATGGGCAGGTTAGGCAGGCGCCACTAATACCCCGCCGTGTGCAGGAGAACATCCGTCCCCACACATAAAGAGATAAAAGGAACATGATATATTGCTGTTCGTAGCATTCAGCACTCACTATCAGCAGGCTTTTGAAGCTCTGCGCAGCCGTCACGGCCATGCCAAAACAGGATCGCGTCGTCTTGGAATAGGTGCAGCTTGTCTCAGCAGGCAGCCACTGTCAGAGCCATGACAGGGGGAAGTACCAAGCAAGTTTCTGCGAAGCCATGAGTGCAGGGCAGCAGTTTCGTGGCAAAGAAGAGTTCCGGGTACCAAGGGCCAGCGGCACCATTTCCACGTTCCCAGATTCCCCCATGAGGATTGGTTTCAGAAATCCGGAATTCACAAAGTTGGCAATGTCTCGGCATGCAGCAGCACTTGGAGACCGACCACACCCGCTCCTAGACAGATGACTCGATCAAAAAGTAACCTTCCGCTGCTCGAAATGCGTAGAAGGATGGACTGGCAGTTGGAGCATGTTGGAGCAGTAATTCAGCTGAGGCGAATCTCGGCGAGAGAGGCGGCTTGGAGATTGGTTTACCGAGTGCAGCCATGCCGCATGCCGTGCAACGCAGGCGGTCATCAGCAACGCAAGTGTTTGGGACACGGTCAAGATGCTGCCAGTTGGGCTCCCGGGAGCCTGTGCCTGATGATCTCTGATGTGCTACGCAACAAAACCTGCACAGGAAGGCACGCGCTGGCCGATGCCAAAGCCCGCAGAGTGCCCATTCTCAGCCCCCGCCGGTCAGATTGGATGTGCTGCCGTGCTGAGTGCAGTTTTGCTCGCTTCACGAGGTGCGGGTCTTTCATGCATTTGCACCTTGGGTTGAAGGCCGAGGCCGACAGAGAAAGAGAAGCCTTGCAATGCAGCCTTCGATTCTCGCTTGGCCAGGGGCTGCCCGGTGAAATGCCCCTGCATTACAGCGTCATCCGAGACTGGAAGGACGCAACGGCAAATGCCAGAGTTTTCGGTCCGGGCAATTCGCCCGAAGGCTGGTGGATGGGGTGTTGTACTGTCCGCGGGCTTCAGACAGGAGCCGATAGATGCAACTGGCAATGTGGTCATCATCAGTGTGCCAAGCGTCGGGGTCCTTATTCGTTGCAAGCATTCTCGAAGCCAGCCTCAACCCACCGATATGATGGAGGAACAGTGCCTCTACCCGCCGCCTGCTTCATGCACATGCAGCATCATGCAGCACAGTCCACAGCAGAATGCGTGTTCAAAGGAAGGAACACGGTGATCTTTCGCGGTTTGTTCGTGCATGGACTCCTGCTTGGACATTGCTAAGTGCTGAGGTTGTGAATCCAGGTTTGGCTCCTGCAGGTAGACACTGCGGGGCCCTCAATGCACTGTGGTCTAAGCGCCCTGCAGTGGTAACAGTGTGTTCCAAGCATTCCCGCTATGCAATGCATTCATGGGGCGAAAGCCTTAGACGATCGATCAGGTGACGGAATTTAAGTGTTTTTTCGTTCCATCTACCTACAGAAGAGCATGTCATTGGCAGGCTGGGCACGGCAAGATAGTTCTGCATACATTTCTCGAGGGCGCTGCCTGCAGCAGATCCAAACCTCCGCCCAAACGCGGGCTGCATCGCTTCGTCATACCGCAGCATGACAAAGGAAAGGAATCTGGACACATGCAGGCTCCGGCGCACAGCCGCAGCCCCTGCATGCGAGCAGCAGCCTTCACCTTGGACGTTGATCGTCACAGACTAAGTTTAAGGCATACTTGACACGTTCTCGCACCAGATCAGAGAGCACACCCGGCGATCCCGAATCGGTGCTCGATATCACCCTCGAGTCACGGTGCGGCGTGTAGAAGGCAGCATGCACCATGCCGTCTATGATAAATCCAGGGATGGTCAGTGCTGAGGTTAAGATACAAAGCTAGGCTGACGAGGGGGTGACATACGCCTCTGTGCATGCCCCATGTCCCTGTGGATTGCACGGATCTGCATGCCGAGGTTTGCATGCTTACCTTGCCGCAACTGAGCCCTACGAGTCAGGGGCTTTATGACGTGCAGCTTCAGAACAGCCCGGCGGTATGGTTAGATTTTGGATGGTCGCAGGCCACGCCATAATATCTTTAGCTTCACGAATGTCGGTCAAGTCAGGCTTTGGCAAGGCATGCAGCGAGGCACTTCCGAGTTGGCCCCTGAGATGCAGAATATCATCTAAAGCTGACGTCCTTCGTTTGCATTTGCATAAAGGCCCGCATGCAGCCAGCGTGCAGAGACTCCATGAACAAAGCCGAGGTACGACGCCTTCAAGCGTGAGAGGGCCAAGCCACTTTTCGAAGCCGTCGAGAGAGCTCTGTCGGGCCCCAAATCCGCACGGGTTTGCACTTTGAGCTCAGCAGGTGACAGAGTGGAGAAATTTCGTTTGGGTGAGTCGCCGCCCTTAGTGCTTGGGTGGAACATCAAGTTGGAAGGGCAGTTCCAAACGGCAAGCCATCAGAAAGAAGGCTTGCAGCAGCACATGTTCGAGTGGTTGTTGATTAGCCACTTACTGTAGTGGAGACGCATCTTGTGTTTCGCCTTTTCGCATGAAGCCCTAAGGCCTGGAGCCTGTGAGAGAATTGCAACTTGACCGCATCATGCTACGTCTGCCATGTGAATCGAAAGGGTGGCAGAGTCCAACCATGCACGATGAACACTTGCACATATGGACATATGGGTCGCATGGCAGGAGCTGGAACTCATCGGATCGCCGCTGACCCATGCTAGGTTCAATCGCAGGCGATGCCTTTTTCTCATTGAAATTTTGTTGTTGCTTTTGCCCCGGTCGTCCAGAGGCACAGGGGCACCTACGGTCCTTTTATGCCTTCCAGCGCCGGGATCTCATGAAGGTTGCCGCAGCTGGAGCGCGTTAGGGGGATGCTTTGGTTCACATGAGCCTTGAGGCTGGCATGCTCCCGGGCCCGTCCTTGCCTAAGCTTCGAGTTGCATGCCATTGGAATCTTGAGTCGCAACTTAATCTCACAGATCGGCATAGGTCAAGTAACTATTTGCAATTCAAGGTCCACTCCAGTTGATGGTCTGCTGTGCTGTGGTGGCCTTAGTGCACCAGCGGCTGAGCGGCAGGGCCGTGGCTTCATGTTTCCGTCTTGCGGAAGTGGTGACTGCTCCTGTCTTCAGGTGGAGATAGCACATTTCCAGGCATTGGAGTTCCTGCCCGGCCCCTGGCATGGTAGCAGCTACTACAAACACCGGCCAGGATAGAGTGCTACAGCGGTATTTCACGCCTTTCGACTAAAGTCTGAAACTGTCGCTCCTACATGTGCACTTTGCAGTGAGATCTCACTCAGAACGCTGGCCTTATTCTCCCAACGGATTGATATTCCAAGTCAGAGAGTCGAATCGCAAAAGGCCTCCCACTTTGGTTGCCGTAGTGACGTAGTGCCGCCGTAGCACCATTCAACTTGACATGGTTGCTACATGTTACCACCCAGTGCAGGCACAGCGTGGCCCCCAAACACTTCTCATGCTGTGTAAGAGTTAGAGCGTCTCAGTCTTCTGAAAGTGGTGGGTGACATCAATATAGAGATGCGACTACGGCACATAGAGTTCACGCCAAGTTTGAGCGGCATGATATTCTGAGTATCCACGCCTGCGGGCTGTTTCGGCATTATTGTGAACCACATCCCAGGCCGCGGTGGCCAGCAGCCTCCTGAGCATATTCCTTGTGCCTACAGTGCCTACAGAGTGCAAAGAAGCTTCGGCCCGTGCCTCGTGGAAGTCCGTGGGAGGTGGCTGTGCGGCAGCCAACAAGTTGCTCTCTGTCGGGTGCCCTGATCCGATGGCTGTCCCGAATGTGGGTGCACGCGGCTGTCCCTAAGGTGGAGGAGCACCTGGAGGCGTCGTTTGAGCTTCGATGCGTATCTCATGGAACAGATTCACGTGCGGTTGGCAAGAGATAAATTGTCGCAAACACGCATCTGGTCGCGCAATCGATCCCCATGGTTGGGAGAGCGAATATGGCGTGAAGAGCTCCTGAAAGCCGTACTGCAGCGACTCGAAAACCTGGTCCTTTTGCCTCCTTGTGTCGAAGGCAGGAGGTTTGATTCCAGTACAGTTAGCAGACAGTTAGCAGAGCTTAGGGGCACGACATGTCGATGAGGCATTAGATGGCATTGGGTTGAACACCTCACTCCTCCGTAGCTTCCACTCCGGACAAGACTGAGCGCGTATTGGGGTTGGAGCCATCGCGCCGAGGCACTAGACGCCATGCGAATACCATGACGCCGACATCGGCATGCTGCCAGGCCCGGTTCAAAGTACGACCCTCACGAGCTCCTGTCTTTTCAAGCTTGCTGTGGCAAGGCCCTGCGCTGCTGAATTTCAGAAGCATCGGCAAGATCGCGCAGCAAAAGGAGCTATGTTGATCGTTTTCACAGCATGACTGCAGCATGACGTGAAGGCCAGGGCATGCGAGGACCTCAGCGTGCAAGTGCGCAAAGCAAGTCTGACTTGGGAGCTTGAGCTTGCCAGAGATCAGAGACGCGGGGCTCAGAAAGTCGGTAGTGTGCCGCCAGAGCCAGTCTCTCTCGCCGCTCGGCTGAAGATAGTGGTACATCTCAAAGAGGTACCCAACGCAAGACAAAGATCTCGGCAGCATGACTTGCATAATTGAATCTGCTAAGCGACTCGATCCCAAGACTCGTCGATTTTCCGTTTTGGACGGGGAAGGGGCGAAGTGCCCTTTATGCGGCTGCCAGCTCCCAACAATTTTGAAATCACACCTTTCGCATTGTCGCAGCCTCTCTCTGAGGAAATGGCGATGTTTCAGGTGCCCACCAGGCCAGCCGGTCATGTCCACGTAGAGTTCAGGGCAGGGCGCATGGATTGGGATGGGCGAATGGTGACAGCAGACAAGCGAAAGGGCAAGATTCTGCTGTACACCTCCGAAGAAGACCAGTTGACGCATTTCCAGTGGATGGATCGGAACAAGAACGAGGTAGTTACAGATCTCATCGTCATCAATGATGCCTACATGGAGAAAGTCCAGAAATGCACTTCCGGCCGGGCATACATCCTTCGCTTCACTTCCTCGGACAAGAAAATGTTCTTTTGGATGCAAGAGCCCAGCGAGGACAAGGATGAAGATAACATCAAGAAATTCAATGAGGCAATTGGTGCCACGATCCCAGACAAAGACAAAGCCGAGAAGAAGCCGGCAGAGGATGCTGCCCCTCCCGCCGGGGACTCAGGTGGTGAGGCAGGTGCTGCTGCGCCTGGGCCGGCATAGAACCAAATATCAGGAGTGCCTGTGCAGACCAGTTACAGTGCAAAAGAGGGATCCATGCACCGGCTTGTGTGTGCGAGTGCAAACCCTGCGCAGTTGTCAGCTTACGCCTCGCAGTGACGGCAACTTCATTGCTCGCAGGACCCCAGACACCTAATGAGATCGACACTCGACACCCTATCTTAAATTTCACCCTTGTCCCAGCACCATATCTCTGAGGCAAGACAGATTCCACCTTATCTTCTGATTCAGTGAGACTCAATGTAACCAACATCTTTCCACACGCCAGGCCCATGGAGGTCCGTGTTAACAGCCTCGCAGGGCAGCTTTGCTGTTTGCGCGGAGAGAGCGAGTGGCGTGCTGCTGACGTCAAGCGAGCGCTGGAGGCTTGTGCGGCCAGTTGCACGAGTTGCAGTACTGGGACCTTAACCTGAGAGTTGTCGGTTTTCAAAGGAGGAGTCAGGCTTCTAGTTGTATAATTTGGAAAGGACAGGACGCTGGAACGAGATATCCCGGAAGCTGATTGAAACGAGATAGCACCAGAGAAACAGCCCACCGATGCTGCCTGCAATGTGAGCCATCATCACAGGAGAATATGAGCATTAGGCAAGGCTTAGGCTGTCAATGACATCGACAGCCTCAACCAGAGCATCAAAGAACATCCCGCAGCAAGACCATTGAGAACAAGGGTGATACGGTCAAGAACACTCATGTCAAGAACACACTGTGGGCTCGTGATGCAACACCAGCACATATCTCACCTGCACCACCCACACCACACAACGACACCACCACGCCATCTACACCACCACTGCAACAACGGCAGCACCACAGCCACCACCACCAACAACCACACCAACACCACCAACAACACAGCCATCTGCAAACACAACCGCAACCACAGCAGCAACAGCAACAGCAACAGCAACCGCACCAGCACCAGCACCAGCACCAGCAACAGCAACAGCACCAGCAGCAGCAGCAGCAGCAGCAGCAGCAGCAGCAACACCAACCACAGCAACTAAGGGAGCATCGGAAACCGCAGCAGCAGTATGACAGCAACAGCAGGAACAGCAGCGGCACCACCGCCTGCAAACACATCAGCAAAAGGAACACAAGCAGCAACATCAACAGCAACAGCAACAGCCGCAGCCACAGCAACAGCAACCGCACCAGCAACAGCAGCACTAGCAACAACAACAACAACAACAACAACAACAACAAAACCAACAATAACAATTAAGGCAGCAGCAGCGGAAACCGTAGCAGAAGCAACAGGAACCGAAGCAGCAGTAGAACAGCAACAGCAGCAGTAGCAACAGCAACGGAAGCAGCTGCAGCAACAACAACAACAGCATCGGCAACAGCGGGTACAGGCAACAGAAATCACGGCAGCATGAGCAGCAACTTGCAACAGCAACGGCGGCAGCAGCAACGGCAAAGAGCATTAGTGAGACCAGAGCCAGGACAAAAGGGAGTCACTTGTGTCTTTGTTCGTGTCACCTGTGTCTTTCTTTTTGGTGTCCTTTGTGTCTTTTTTCATTGTTCTGAAGCAGCAGTCTCGAAGAGAGGCCCTTCGGTAGGACCTGACATCGGAGGCCTTCGGCCCTCTCAAGTCGACCTAGGCCGAAGCCCCAAAACGAGTATACCCAGACCGAAACCTGATGAAAGAAGGCTCAAACCTGAAAAGGAACAAAAAGTAAAAGGGTAAGCTTGAAAGAAAGCCGAACCCTGCTGCACGAATTCTGCGACTTCCGGCCCTATATCCGACTCTGCATGCGAACACAGACCTGTGCGAACTGGCATGATGGTACTGCACCAGGGTCAGCATTTGGGCACTTGGGTGACCTGGCCAAGTCAGTTATGTGCTGCTAGTCTACAAGTGCAAAGTTGTTTAAATGAGCTATTTGCGGGGGCTCACTGTGCATTCCTGCAGGTTTTTGCATATGTCGCTGGCTTGATCATTTTCTCAGCTCCCCTGCAAGTGCTTGCTGCATGATGGTAGGAAGTCGAAACAAGCTCAGCTGCGGATGGAAGTCTGGGAAATCGGGAGAATCACAATGCGCTTAGCTGTTTCACGCTGTTTCACGCTGTTTCACGAGAGGTTTTGCCTTGCATCCAACTAGGTTCTAGGTTCTTATCTTCCTGTGGGTTCTGGGGGCGGTTGATGCTAGGTAAGTCTGCTGTCACGTCGGGTCGAGGTGCACTTGATCGTAGCTTACGAACGACTTTGAAGTGATGACCCACTCTTGCACACCGATAGTCCCAAGTTCCACTACAGACCTCGCCTGGTGACTGGTGGCAGAGTGCGAGCGTCAAAAAAAACCTCAACAGAGTAAAGCGATTCCGAAACCCTAGGTAAGCTGGAAGAAAGCCGAAATCCTAAACCCCAGGCCGGGTTCAGGTCTTGGGGGTCTGTTGCTGGGTTTGACCTTCGGGTTGTTTTCTTTTGGACTCAGTCTCTTGGTTTCGGCGCCTTGGCTGCACTTACTTGGAATTCATGCTGGACTGCCTGCTGGACTGTCTTCCTTGCCTTTGCACTGCCCCTTTTCTCCCTTCTGCATGCCCTTGCCTGCTGCGTGCTGCTTTTCAGATGATGCATGGGTGATGATCATGAAATTGCGCCGTCGGTGTCAGTCTGCCTTACCTCACTTCCCTTTCACAACTTTGACCTTAAGCCCTGTCTTTCCCGATCCTACCCCAAAACAAAACCACTACCCCTCGCCAGTGCAATCCGGCCATGCCTCAGTTTGCGGTGAACCATCGTCGCTTCGCCGCTGCCGTGACGCTGCCCTGTATCTGTCTCTATGGAGTTCTGGGCTTTGGAGCTGGATACTGGATCTCAGCATTTTCAGCTGCATGCGCTTCTTGTGAAGGCTGGAAGGGAACCAGCTGGTCTGATCTATGCCCTCACCGCCGAAACTCACTAGTCAGGCCCCGCTGCCGCCCTTACGTGTGTGCACTGGGGTATTTACATATAGTCGACTTGGTCAGCCAACGGCCGTGATGACCACTGCCAACACGCCCGTGGGTGTGTTTCAAACCCACACCCCAGTGGACGTGGGTCTATGGAGGCATGCCTCCTACAGGACGGGGTGAGGATCTCGCGGCAGACATGACATAGCTTGACTGTCATGGCTTCTTTGGAAGTTGAGTAACAACTGACCGGTCGGAGGCCCGTGGAGCTGAACTGTGGGTCAGTGTCTGATCACCTGTCCTTGGAAAGTGGCTGTCCTGAAGCGCATGGATGGAGACCGCTGTACCCTGACGTGGCCGTGTAGTTCCGGTCGCTCACCTCTGAGTATGGGGAGTCTACTGTCCTTGCAGAAGTGTCAGACCTCAAGTGCATGGATGGAGACTGCTATACCCTGACATGGCTGCATGCTCCGTGTCGAGCACCTCTGAGTCTGGGGGCTAGTGAGGGCGTCCACTTGAGAAGCCTTGTACATGCCGTTGTAGTGAGGTGCACGTCGACAGTGTTTTGCATGCCAGGCCTGTATTTCTAACTCCACACGTACTCAACCTTGTTCTCATATCCTGTGCATGCTGTAGGAGTGACGTGTTTGTCTTGGATAGTTGCTTGCATGACCAGTACATGGGAAATCGCCTAATTCGGAGTTCTTTTCAGTGGTTTCACACTTTTGATCTCGGTGTTGATACATGCGAGTTCGATATACTGCACATCTGGACATACTGTACATCTTGTCTACCTTTTCGGAGCTCCTCCTGTAACCCGTCGTGCGTGGCCTTACCTTGTGTTGCCGCTGTTTCAGGTAGGGATATAGGAGGGACTCCGCTTCTCCAATGAGTGAAGCCTTGCGTTTCCCCTGGTAGCATGCAGTCCATGGCCTTACCTTTTGTTTCGCTGTTTTCTACTGCTATCAGGGGGTTTCTGTAGAAGTTCAGTTGCCGACCAAGAACCTCGTCTGGATTGTCCGAGTTGCGAGAGCGTAAACCCCAGGCCGGAGCCCTAAAAGGAGCAAACCCGACCGAAAGCGCATGAACGGAGACTCAAACCCTAAAAGGAGTAAACGGACCCCGAAACACCCAAAGACGCAAAAGGTATGCTCGAAGGAAACCCGACCCTAACAGGAGTAAGCTCTGGCCGAAGGCCTGAACAACGTAAACCCAGACCGAACCCCAAGCCCTAGAAGCTTTTTGCCAGCAGTGGGCGGCTGGCTCAGTAGAGCTTTCGCTCGAGACTGTTGTTCCAAGAGAAGGAAGAAGACACAAATGACACAGAAAACAAAGAAGCGACACAGGGGGTGGTTGGGCACCCCCGTACCTCGAACCTTGCAAGGGTTGCGATTTCGGACAGAACTACTGTACAGCGACGCCTCGCGGAGTCTGTGGATAGTGTTTTGTCGACCCTGCCGCCTGCAAAACAGGTTAATTTCAAGGACAGCTCTTTCCCAAGCTGTTGAGAATGATCGCCTTTCGCTTGCAGGTGAGCCTTCATGTCCGCCCCTCAGACATTGGCATATGCCTCGACTTTTGTACTTTCTGATGAACCAACAAGAAGGCAAGCTATCAAGTGGTCTATTGTTACACCGTGTCTGTGCTAAACGACTAAGGCTGACTAAGGGCTCCTTTCTGATTGAAAGACCAAAAGACCGCGAGAAGTAGCATCCCGCATTCGCAGGTCCCGTCGGATGAGCAAAGGCACGCCGCCCCACAAAGCAAAACGAGTATCTGTTTGGGTGCATGATCATGTCGTCTGCAGTGGGGCTGCGAGCTTTGCCTTGAATGCAGCCGCCCTGGAAGGCTCATCCTGGGCTGTGTCGAACTTCAGGATCATGACCTCTTGCAAGCACCTGGATGCATGCGCGACCTAGACTTGACCTTGATTCGACGATCAGCAGCACATGCGGAGCTTCTGCGGCTTGTGCGTGGAGGGACGCAGACCCTCAGTCGAAAATGGCTCGCACGCATGCCGGAGATAGTCCGTGGAGATTCCGAGATAGTACGGGAAGTGTTGCGCAGGGATGGCGTGGCTCTGGAGC